TGTCAAGCTGTTCCGTAGAGCAGACCCCATGGACTGAGTCTCCTCCCCGCCTGAAATCACACTAGCCAGTCTGCAGCAAGTGAACAAGCCAGGGTCAATCAGAGCAATTACTTGCATGGAAATCAGCAGTGGGAGAGCATGTCTAGCTGTTTAACACAATGAAGATATTTTAGAAACATTCTGAGGAGTCCCTCAGTTACTGTTACTCCTTCCCCCACGCACACACTCCATCCTTACAGAGCCTGCGGGATTTGCTCTGTAGGGACCACCATCGAGCAGTGCAGACAGAGCTGTCTGGGAACCAAAAATGCGGTGGATGATTCCTGGTTATCCACCTCTGTGTGCACACATGTCTGTAGTTTCCATCTCCTTTCACTTCTACTAAGTCAACCACCAGTCCAGCTGGACATGCTGGGAGGCTGAGGGGTCACGGGGAAAACCAGACCTAGGTTGAAAGGATTTAAAGGAATTTAGAGCCATAGATCTGAGCAGGCAGTTGTCCCTACCAGCTTAGGAACTGCTCTCTCGGCTATCTCTTATCCTTCATTTAACTCAGGCTCTCTAACTTCTAGGGCAGGCATCAGTGGCAACAGTCACACTGTCCCATGTCCAGACATTCTTCCTGTGTGCCTCTATAAAAGCAATTGAGAGAAAAATCACTTTGGAAGAGTGGCTTCATTTGGGCACTGAGAAACTTTCCTTTCACAAGCTTTTCTCCACTCCCGCCACCGGCTGGTCAAGGAACCGAACACCCTGGCTGAGCTACATAATCAGGTGATGTGAATAACCCCAGGCTCATTTTCAACCTGCACTTGCCAAGGATAGTGGAGCTACTGGGTACTCAGCATCAGAGTTACAAAGATCAACCATGACTGTATTTCTTTGGAGAAGTACATTCCTGGGTTTTCCACAGCTTACCATTGTTTTGGAGGAAGCCAGTGCACTGTGCACGCCAGACTGGCGCTGTCACACTCACCCACATTATTTGTTCCTAAACATGAAGCTCTGCCTCTGCTGTCATATGACAGTCCCAAACACTGCATTTGACTGGTCCCCAGGGCAGTACCGACAGTGAAGGTCAGCACTGCTAACATTCCTGCCCTTGGTGAGTGTTATAGGTGTTGATGCTTTCCTTGCAGCCTCAGCTATGGGAGATGAGTGGTTTATATAAGAACTGCAGCTCCGTTTATTTATTTAAAGTGTGCTGCTAGCCCCAGAGGCTGGAGCAGTGGCTGCGCAGAACAGCTTCAGAACGTGAACTGAAAGCACTCTCGAGGTTGCTAAAACAGAAGGAAAAATGGAAAAAAATGTTCCTTCAAACCTCATGATGTTTATGCTGTTTTCACATATCAGGAGTACATCCTTAACATCACAAGTGTTCAAGGTAAGGCACAACTGGAATATTTTTGCATAAAGCACAGTCAGGAAACTACGATTTCTTTCCCAGCCTCAGGTCACATCATTATAAAAGATGACTGTATAGAACAAAGAGGGTCCTTTAGTTTTTTGAGTCTTAGCACTGAAGCATATGGTTAGATACAGCTCTTTGCACAAGGGTTTGCCCAGTATTGTCACGTTTCTGTGAAAATTATTGCACCTGTGAACTTTTGAAGCAAAGGGCTCCCCAACATTATAAATGCTGTATGTAAGAACATAATCACCATTTCTTGGTTCTGAAATTCACACTACAGAAAGGGATACCAAACCATGACAGCATGAAAAGGTCTCACACGAGACCTCACTGACATCTGTCAAGCCTTTGCTCAAGGGACAGTCTTCCTTCCTTGTGTGGAGAGATGATTCAAGGGGAAATTTCACGTACCCACACTGTCATACTGCCAGAAAGATCACCAATGCTATGGGGAACCACTCCAGCTGACTCTAAAGGTGTGGTATTTAATCTTTCCCTCACTTAGGAGTTCTGCACATGACCTACCTCAAGGCTCTACATCACTCCAGGCAGGCCAGGACTGCTTCATGCCATCATCACTTCCTCCTGCACATGCTTGGGCATAGCCAAGTAAGCTTGGTGTGCTCTGTGCTACTCTCCTGTTGGTTATGTTGTTACCAGCTTCTCTACCAAGATTTGCAGCCTGCTCTGAGCTCTACTTTGCAGTGCCAAGTGCATCCTAAATGCTGGCTGTGTCCGGATGAGCTCCAGCCCTCCCAGTGAATGGACTCCCGCAGCTGAGTGAGAAGCAATCAGGGCAGCACATCCCTGCTCAAGAGATGGACTCACCACTAATGTCAATGAACCAGTCAAGAATAGGATCCACAAAAGCCTCAAGTACCAAAAATCTGCTATCCATTGTGTCCCAGTAATTAAGAGTCTTTGTCCTGAAGTCTCTTGAAAGTTTTTCAATGAAATCTTCATTTTCATAACAACCTTTTCCTTATCTCGTTCCTTTCATAAGGACACAATTTGTGCAATTAGAATTAAATTAGGAACAAATCAGCCAGATGCATCCTAGAGCTATGACGATGGAAACACCTATTTCATTCTGTTACTTGCCTTGTTCTGAGGTCAGGCTCTATACAGAAAAGCAAAAACAACAACAACAAAAAAAAAAGGCTTTGACATTTAACAGCACATTTTCTGAATGTCAGCCTGTACACCTGCAAAGTGCAGAGTAGACAGGTTTGCTTATGCTTCTCTACCAACTCTCCACCAATAGGTAACTCAAAACTTAACTGGATCCAAGGACAAGAGAAGCAGCTCAGGCACAGAACACATACACACCTTCTCAGGCCACAGCCTTCAGTTACCTCTGCTGTTGCAAGTTGGGATTTATCCTACAGCAGATGTTACAGTCATGCCAGAGGGATCAAAATTCAAAACGCCTTCTTTCCTATTTAAACAGTTGTGAAGCTGATAGTCATAGCAGACAGATATGTTCTAACCACTCTTAATTCCAGATGTGGCGAATCAAAAAGCTTTCCCCAATTTCAGAGCTTAGAACTGGGAAGAGCAACCATTAGTGGGATACATGGTAAAGAACAGCAGAGCCCTTGGAATCGGGATCTCCTCCTAACATACACAGCTCACCAGAAGAAGTTGAGAAGAGGAAAAGCGAATAAGTTACCAATAAGTTACATGTTACAAACCCTCCCGTCCTGCTCCTTTCTACCCAGCAAAGTCAGATTCCAAATGTGAAGCCAACTATTGCTTGTCAACACCACTCTTGGGAGAGCTCCCTCACCAGGCAACTGCCGTGCTAGAAACAGCCTTCCCTGGCTTTGCAGCCCGAGCTCAGCCTCCAGGTTTCTACATTCGCCATATGACACTCACTGTGTTAGCCCAGGGTTTAATATATTCTCTCATGCTGCTGTCCTTTAAAAGCATTGGCATTTCCTACACACATATTCCATATTGGCTTTACAAGTATCAAAACGCTACGGTGAAATTTAAACTAAATATAGAGATGATATTTTTAAATAACTCTTTGCTCCAACCCGCCGAGCTGATTTTATTTGAACAGAAAAAGCAGACTCCAACTTTAAGCTCCAATTGTAATTAATGATTACAACACATTCCTCTGCCGTATCAGATTTAGCACCTCATTAATGTATGTGGTATTTTGCTAGCATGGCACAGCTGTAGTTAAAGTTGAATTAGTGTTTCCATTATAAACCCATGTTTTCAAAGGTTTATTACTCAGACACATGAGATTTAGTCTGAAATGAAAATTGCTATTGAGAGTGTCAGCTGGAAAGCAATTTCTTGTCCTTCAAAATCTGGTAGCAACAAAATAAAAAAAAATAATAAAAAAAAAATAAAAAGCAAGCCACCCTGTTTATTAATAATTCACATTTTAAAAAGTATTGCAAATACATGTTTACATGATAGCCTGTGACAGCTCCATAGAATGTCAACACCCACACGCTCCTAGGAGATGTGTCATCTTACAAACCGAAATAAAAGCCACATTTTTACACCACTTGATGAGAGGCGAAGAGAAGGGGAAAAAGACTTAAAAATAATATTGACAAAGGAAACATAAAAAAAACCACATATAGACTTTGTTTAGAAACATTAAAGTTAGGATTTTCAGTGGAGAGGGGGTAGGTGGGAATCATTTCAAGTGCCATTGGTATTTGTACCTTTTTGGGTAATAAATTTAACAAGACCTAGTCCCACTGAGTTCCTATCACATGTGACATCCAGGCCTTTGACATGTCCATAAAACCTGGAGCCTTAAGGTATGACCAGATCATGCTCTTTGCAACAGCCATGCTGAGGCACAGGGCAAAATGTACAACAAAACAACCTTCCAGGGGCTCCACGCTTTGGGATTGTGTCCTTCTCCAATAGCTTTAAGACTGAACCACTGAGAAGGAGAACTTTTAGTTGGGAGGCTTCTGAGGTCTCTTCTTGGCTGATTATATTAGTGATTATATGCTTATGACATGCAAATTTACATAGAAAGACATGAGGAAATTACCAAATTCCCAGTTACCATCATTACCAGAATGGATGTGTTTTTGATGGCTGAGAAAAATTAAAATGTTATTTTTGTAACACGGTAAAATTCCCAGTTATTTTGACTCCAGGACTCATGGGTTTACTGAAGACATAACGTTTCCAGAAAACAACAAACACATGAAGGAGTGTGTAATAGCTACTACAAGAAAATCAGGACATGCAAACCCTTTGCGAGAAGAAAGGCACTGTCGTTACTCAGAAATGTTCGCATTTTGCTCTTCACTAGATAAACAAAACACTCCCACAACAGACAGAGCAGGGAGTGTGCTTTTTTTCCCCCCCAGTGTTGCCTTCCATTTTTCAAGAGATTACTCCAGACAACAAAGATAATGGGAGCATGGTAGCAATTGCATATCCATCTGATCGACTCTGGGAGGTTACTGTGGACTATCCAAAATCCTGCTGTTTTCCACAAACAACCTGAGAAACAGCAAATGGGTCTGTCTCTGTCCTCCCAGCGATCAAAGCCTCAAGAAGATTCTGTACATCAAAGACAGTATAATATTGTGATACTTACCAAGGCCTTCACAAGCTCTGGACTTCTCTTTGTAGTGTTTTCTTTGCCCTTGTTCCGGGCATGGGAGCCCACCTCTCTTTTCAAAGTAGAGCTTCTTGTTGATGAAGTGGAAGAGAACTGCAGGGAGGATAATGAAGGCTCCAACGGCAGACAAAAACCCAGTGGCCCCAGGAGTAACTAAGAACAGAAAGTCAGAAAGAAAACATCAGCACAAGCGGGAAAAACTACCCAGAGGAAGACGGGATTTAACCACAGCTGTATCCATGGCTCTGCTTTCCCATCCTCTCCACAGAAGAAACAGAAATGAAATCCAGCAGGACTTGGCTTTGTGTGCAATGGATGCAACATCCGGGTTGTTTGAGTCTATTGAGATCATCAACAACAAGGTACATAACACATCAGACTTCTTTCCAGTTAAGGTCTTGATTTCTGTTACATGATGAACTCTAACACAGGAAAGACTGATTTTAATAAACTTTAGTATGAATGCAGAATTCCACCAGCTTCAACAGTGACACTCTCCCTCTATACTGCAAAAAGGATGCAGCTGAGAAAGGGCAGTTGGTCATTAAATATTTCTACACAGCTAGAGGCAAATTCTCAGGGGAGGCTGCAGGGAGGATTAGCTTGGGAAGGTGAAGGCCCCAACACCTCCTTTTCAATTTGTGTATTTTCTTTAAAACCATCAGATTGCACATAATGGTAATCACTAACTTCATTACATTAAGAACAAGGTTAATGTATAGCCTATGATCTTCATTCAACTGCTACTTTACCCTTAAGTAAGAAGTATATTACCATACTACATAATTACCATTATTTTCTGCAAAAAACCTCAGCCTCCAGCTCAGGTAATTCAGTCGAGCTCCTTGAGTGTCAGATTTGGCCACAGGTAACGAGCACAGCAGTTTTGCACTAGCTGGTGCCCTAGCCCTGTACATCAACATCCCTATGTCAGACTGTAAAGAAACAATCTGATTTCAATTTATCATGTTCCGCCTGTGCCACTGGGTCTGCAACAAACCGCAGGCGCCAGCAAAAAGCTTTTAAAGCCATTTCACCTCTCTCACACATATCAAAATGCCAAAACAAGGGACAAACACTACATACATCATCTGATGTGGGTGGCAAGGGCACATGTGTCAAAAACTTTCAGTGCCATCTGCAAAAAAAAAAAAATTGGCTTGTTATTCTGATAATTACTTCACCAGGGAAGGGGTGAAGTTCAGCTGTTCAATTCAAGTCAGAGACCCCATAAAAATGAAACATCAGCAGCATCAGTGGCACACCAGGGACGCATGTGATTACAAAGCTGCAGTTCAGATGAGATGAGCAGGATGAAAGGATGTAAACAGCGCCAGACCTGCCTCTGAAACATCCCACCGGGAATTTATAAGACTTGACTCAGCGAAAGACTTAGGCTAGAAGAGCTACACTGTCTCCAGTTACAGCCTTGATAGTGCACAGTAGGACGACAATCTAGGGGATTTTAAAAAACTAAATTAATACCAGCCAACGTGTCTCAATTGGAAACAAAAATCACCAATGCATAGCAGCGGCCCACATGAAAAACGGATGAGTGGTTGGGACTGAACCCAGAGGAATATGTGTTACACAAACTCTGGAGGTGGCTGTGACCTTTCTCACTCCAGCCTAAGGGAGGAACAGAAATATGCATTGAATTGCAGCAGCTTAAATGACAACAAGATCAAGTCTGCATTTCCATTGCTCTCTTCTGCATGGGCACAGACACTTCACAGAATCAAAGAATGGTTTGAGGTGGAAGGGACCTTAAAGACCATCTCATTCCAACTCCCCTGCCATGGGCAGGGACACCTTCCACTAGACCAGGTTGCTCAAAGCCCCATCCAACCTGGCCTTGAACACTTACCTGGCCATTACTTCTCTGACCTCCTTGTGCCTCACCAGCACTAAGCAGGGTCCATGAAGACAGTGGATCTCCTTGCCAACACTGAAATTTGATGGCACATCTCCCCTGGATAATTTGGCAGGCACATATCAGACCTATTTTCCTCTCACACATCAACCCAGGGAGCAGGGCTGGGGATGTGAGAGTGGCTGAGTGATACATCGACTCTGGCTATTTTCAGCTGCTGAAGTCACCATAAAGTGGCTGCTGGAGCCAAGTATAAATCAGAGGAGATGAGTGTAAATTGAAGTAGCCATAACTCCAGAATATACATGAAAACCTGGCTGGGTCCCATCACTGACTTGTCCTATTTTTGAGCATAGCATATGTAGGAATAAGGATTATTATGCTCTACCTTACCTGTAAAACACATGGATCACCACATGTCTTGTGAGTGCAGATGCTCACGTGTGTGTCTGTGTGTGTTTCTGTGTGTGAAGCTGCAGCAGGGATGTTGCAAACTGACAATCATGTGTTGAAGGCTCTGTGTGAGTGATTTCACTGCAGAGGGTGTGATATGGAGGGGTGGCAAGGATGCCACTGTTATTATTTATTAAACCCTTCCATGAAAATCTCAGTGAGCCCAAGGAGACACCAGGGTTTCCCCTTCTCAGACAGAGCACATGCAAGCCACTAGTCTTCTTAGATACAAATTGTTCAACACGTGTTCTGAAATGCTACACAACCCCCAGCTACAGAAATCCTCAAAGTGTCCCTTTCCTCAACAGACCTTCACAGTTCCTTGCAAAATCCCAGAGGAAAAAGCAGATCTTTGACTAGACCAGGCATCCTGAAAGAAAGTTTGGAGACAAATTATCACCAGCTATCTACCAGCTCTAAAGGAACTCAGAGTAGCACAACAGTGTTATTGCCTGTCTAATTCCTGTTTTCTGGTCAGCTACAGAGGAACAAGAAGGTAGCAGCTCAGTGGTGCAGGACTTGGGACAACCCTTCAGCCTTCCCCTATTTCTTGGAGCAAAAATTTAAAAGGCATCTCCTGTCAGAGCTCACAAAAGGTCCAGCATCAAATTCCAGGAGGAAGCTTTCAAAGCCAAATACTAACAACTGTCCACACAGAGGCAGAGTTTTTGGGAGCACAGGTAAGGGGCTGCATAGACCCTCGCTGTACAGCAAAGACAATCAGCCTGCTACCAACAAGGGCTGGGATCCCTCACTCACCTCCCTTCAGTGTAGGCACCAAGCAAAGAGGAAAGGTGCCCCAGAAGGACCACATCAGCTCTGGCAGGAAGTGACATCTCCTGCAGAGATGGCTCCTGCAGCAAAACCATAGTGTCCCTCTCCTAAACATGGTCTGCCTGACTGTGAGGAGGTGGCTGGGACTTCTGCAGCACAAAGAATGGGAGCTCATACATCCTATCCCACAGCTTTATGGAGAAGTTTCCTTTTCTCTCATCCACATTATCTGTGCCAAATACTAGAAGTTTGTTCCACTCTGTCTCTGAAGGAGGGCTGTGAGTTTGCACCTGAGCACTGTGTCATGTACGTGGGTAGAAACGCTAAAGTCTGTGCACCTGGCTCCAGCTGGAAGCTCGTATCCCTCTGAGAGGGGAGTCATGCTGGCTCTCTGCTCCTCCATCATCAAGAGGAAAACATGCTGCACCTGCACACAGTCCTGACCATTCTCAGTTCTCCTCTCGATCCTCAGCTGAAGGGCTTTCTCTGCAGAATTGAAACTCTAGGATAAGTCTACGCCTGGGAAATAACTGTAAATTTGATCTGGAGTAGAGCTCTGTTTTGGCTTGCGATGTCTGGGCCTGAGAAAGTGTTGAGGAGGAAAAGTAGCAGAAATACACACATGTAACACACGTCCCTTGCGTTACAGCATTGCTGGAGTGTGTCAGAGTTTCTCACACAGGTAAAATGTCCATCCTTACAGCAGTGGATGACAGACTGTACCTGAGAGCATGAAAATGAGACACAGTAATGTATTCAACTCTTGGTTCAAACCCTGGGCACTCAAGACCAGTGAAGGAGCCAGCCACCACATGCCTTGGCACATAAACAGTCCATTCAGCCAGAACCCTCTCTCATTTATCCATTTTGAAGCTAAAAAATTAATGCCATAGACACCTTTGTGCAATGCCATAAAGGGTCCACACGTTCTGCTGCTCCAGGTGAGAGCACAAGCCAAGAAACACTTTTTGTGCTCCTGGCAAGCTGAGGGCACAGACTTCTTTGTGTACACTGCTCAAGAACAAACCAGAGGCACAGTGTCAAGGGCCCCAAGGTAGAAAAGAGAAGATCAGAAAGGGAAGTGAAGTAAGCAGAAGAGATCTGACAGAGGACACTGGGAGCACAAGGCATTACAATGCTGTTCATGCTCCAACCTCTCCCTCAAAACTACCTCCACACCATGAGATTGCTTCAGGGAGAGTCTGTCTGGAAAAGCAGGAGGGAAATATTGGCCACACCATTACAGGCATTGAATCTAGCTGGGTTTTTGGCCCGTAGCAGCTTTCACAGCAATTCTGCTACCAGACCTTGCCCCTTCAGACAGACCAGGACCAGGGGAACGAATGCAAGAGGCGGCACAGTAGGTTCACTTGGGGAGCGTGCAACTAGCAAGACCTTAATCCATTCTGCTGTGCAAGGGTTAAATTTTGCATAAAATCCTATTCCAGACAATAGTTCTTTAATTTCATTTAATACCAAATTTCCTGAAAAATGAATGTTTACTGGTACTTTTTAATTATGAAAAAAAAAAAAAACAACAAAAAACCAAACCAACAAACAAAAAAAACCACCAAACCAAACCATAAATTGTCTGTTTTGCTGTCTGTGCTAATTACATTTCATTATATATTTGGAGTAAGCTATGATTTTCCTGCTGGTTCCCATGACATTTTTCATTATCAGCCACTAATTGTCTAGCATGCTCACTGCATTGTGAACCAAGTAGGCTGATGCGTGGGCAGAAGTTCTAGCAAAAGCTGCAAGGCAGTACAAGTGTACGCTAGTATTATTATTATTATTATTACTATTATGATGTATTAGAAAGTTTCCACCTACTTGCATACCTACCCATCCTCATCCCTAACAGCAGTGTCACAGCGCAGCAAAGCCCAGGAGTCCATCTGTAACCATCCTTGTGCTTAGCCAGGCTCAGCAACTACTGAAGGAAAGTTATGAGGGATGAAATGGTGACAGCAG